TCTGAGCAGCTCCGGGGCAGAATACTCTGAATTACATCTGGATTTTTTTTTTGGTGAGACTTTTGACATTTTCTTTTTCAGATGCCCCTGGGAATGGATTTTTAGTTCAACTATAGAAAGATTATGGGGACTCCCCTGTTTTTCCCTTGTGAAGAGATATCTGGTAAGAACTGATTTCATAAACGGCATTTAAGGCCCAATCTGTGTGTTGCCTTAGGGGCCTTCCGGACAGGTGCTATATCCCAGGATCTGATCCCAGGTTTTCTGTTTATCCCAGATTATCTGGTGGTGAGGACTTCAATAATCCAGTTTGAATCAGAAAACCTGGGATCAGATCCTGGGATATAGGGTCTGTCTGGAAGGGCTTTTATACAGTTGCTTTACATCAAGCTTTGAAAAGCAGACAAAAGAATCACAATGACCACCCATTCCAGATCAGGACCGTTATAGGATTGGGGGTGGGTGGGTGTGCAGGTTTACCCTTATTCTCCTTGTCTCTTTATTTTTATCTATTCAGCATGGGCAGCGCTAAGCTAAGGGACGAACAATTTCACTTGCTGAGGATCCAGTTTGTGAGTTGTGCTGAGCAGTGGAGGAAAAGAAACCAATGTGCTCACACCAATGCCAGCAATACAGCTTAATGGTGCAATTCTAGAAAATGTTGACCATTTCCACTACCTTGGTAGCCACCCACAAAAGTTGATGTTGAAATACAACACTGTCTGAGCTCTGCAAGCGAATGAAGCATAGAGTGTTTGAGGATCCACTGTGATGGAGGGAATAAGTATATAAGTGCAGGATCTTTGCTAATGAATGGCCAAGAAGCTGGATCCCAATTGCAGGATATCAGTAATGGACTAGCTCTCCATCTAGAAAGTTTAATAGGAGATCCAAAAGATGAGCTGACAGTTGGGAAATGTCCTGCTTTGTATCATTTCATGGGTTTCTCCATGGTAATCAGGACAGGGTATGGCGCCCTACCAGCCAAGAGGTGTCTCCCCCAGTACCAGGAGCCATCTTCTATGCTTCACTCTGGGGACCCATCCAGACAATCACAAAAATTATAGTTGTGTTTATTTTTTAAAAAAATGCCTCTAAGACACTAAGCAGGCAGAGTGTAACATTTTGCCAATATGGTTGTATCCTCCCCTTTCTCTGGCAACTTTCAAGCTCAGGGAGGAGATGCTGCTACTTACCAGGGAGGTGAAGAAGCAGCTGATCTTGGCTTGATAAAAGGAAAAATTAGGGTGATCCTGAAGATGGAGTCCACCTTTCTTTTTCTTCCTACAGAAGCCCAGAGCAGGATCATTATCAATATCCGAATTGTCTCTCCTTTCCCTCCCCACCAGCAAGCAGCAACAGTCACAAACGCTCCAAGAACTTTACAGATTTTATGCAGGGAACTACATGTGTGCATAGTTCTCTAAAAGGAGGCCAACTGTTGGTTTCCTCTCTTACTGGTCCCTCTGTCTACACCAAGTCTGCAGAATCGCTTTCTGTGCAAGATTTCTTGGGCTGTTTGATTGGGACACCAACATTGTTCTCCTCTTCTGTGGGTACCATATTTGTGCCATTGTTTACAACTCTTTCTTTCTTTCTTTCTTTCTTTCTTTCTTTTCTTTATACCGCTTTTCTCAGCCCTCAGGTGACTCAAAGCGGTGAACAACATCAATACAAAACATCACGAGACAAGTATAGGGCAATTAAAAACAATTGTAACATAAATCATTAAACATCCATATAACAATCATTAGCGCCTCAACAGTAAAATCAGAATCCAGTCTCATCATCCATTATTCCGTATTCCTATGTTCAATTACACTGTTTAATCAAATGCTTGTTCGAACAGCCAGGTCTTCACTTTCCTCCAAAACGCCAGCAGGAAGGGGACTGATCTGATATCTGCAGGCAGGGCGTTCCACAGCCGAGGGGCCACCACTGAGAAGGCCCTGTCTCTCGTCCCCGCCAAGCGTGCTTGGTGATGCGTTCAGAGAGGTAAGTAGGGCCAGAACCGTTTAGGGCTTTATAGGCTAATGCCAGCACTTTGAATTGTGCCCGGTAGCAAACTGGCAGCCAGTGGAGCTGGCGCAACAGAGGAGTAGTATGCTCCCTGAGTGCCACTCCTGTTAGCAACCTGGCTGCCGAACGCTGGACCATTTGAAGCTTCCGAGCAGTCTTCAAAGACAACCCCACGTAGAGAGCATTGCAGTAGTCTATACGGGATGTA